AAAGGTTGGGGTGGACTTCTTCCTAACAGCGTCATATGCAGTGTCCACTTCACTCAGATTCTTTTTTTTTGAAAAACTGTCCTGTCCATGACAAAACAACTAGGTTTTAATGAGAAACGCTGACAATACAAAACGTTTTCGAAAAAAATAGATTCCGGACCAGCCCATGATCACTAAGACGGATTTCAGAAGGGAGAGAGACGTCGAGTATGTGTTTCAAATGATTTGATTTTTTTTGCGATCCTGATTATCGCTTTATAGAAACCACCCGTGTTATGTAAAAGGTAGCAGTAACTTTGATAATGACACGAAAACGAAGCGCCGGACAAACAGGAAATTACGCAGCCCTCAAGCTTTTTTCATTTTCGCAGGCTAAAAGTGTCTGAATTGTTCAGTTATTGGTGTTGAATGTCAAATTCACGCCTTTGTTGCCTTTACTTGCAGCTTGATCGGCGTAATAATTTACGGAATAAGAATCCGAGCTTGAGCTGTCAATGTATTTTTTTAATATGATGTCATAATTATTAAAATCACGCTAAATCCACTCTGAATTTGTCTGTATGTGAGCCGCTCTCAATTATTTTTGTTATCCAAATAAATACCGCCATTTACGCACTTGTCCCCCTCATGACCCGACGCGTTTACCCATTACAACGCGGCAGTCATTTATTTAGTAACTGTGTTTTGTCGTTTTTTTTAAATTATTTCTCTATTTTATAAATCAATAGTGTCTAATAACCTGCTAAATAACAAGACGATTCAGGCGTCAAATTTGATTTTGTCCAATGCCAAAGTCCAGCGACAGTGTACAAACATGCTCCGGTGATGGTGACAACCACGGTGACTAGCTACACCAGACCGGACATATTTCGCATCTGACTCAACCCCATGGAACAAACTTGATACTATGTGTTCATTATGGTCCATTCTTCCTCGACGAACAAGAACATAAGTGGCAATTTAGTCAAAGACAAGAAAACAGCACAAGAAATTTGCCTTATTTACACGTATTGGCAATGCAAGCTACCCAGCAACTTCCCCTTCTGACGTCACAAGGGGGAATTTATGTATGCAAATAAGAAGCTAATGAGGAGCCTCATTTTAAAATACACAAAAATAAAGTTGCCATAGATCGAGTTTAAAACACATTTTTTCACATAAAAAAATAATTTATGCTTAGAAACATAAAAATTAATATTTATGTATCAAAGGATAATTTTAGGTGTGAAAATAGCAGCCATTTCACAGGCACTTTAAATAACAAACCATTATTCTGAGGATGTGATCATCAATAACATCTCCAAGGGAAGGTGAATATAATACCAGGAAAATAGACATGTATTGTTCAGTAAGTGTAAATGAACAAGAGCATATTTCAATTTGCTATAGGAGTCTGACTACTAGTACAGAACTGTATATTGAGATCTTAAACAAAATTAAATACATACAAAAACTAGCTGATTTCTGAGTCATCATTTTAGGCTACAAACATTGTCAAAAATTGTTTTTTTCAAGACATCACAATGAAACATAGGACATGATATTAGTTAAACATATTAAAGATGTTGATACAAGATTCATTGTCCAGTGAAAAAGGACATGTATTGGGGAAGTGACTTACAGTTTATATAATTTCGGATTATCTCTTGTGTGTATTGAAAAACCTTCACTAAGTCTTGTATCAGATGCTATAACAGCGAAGTCTTCACCAGCAATTGCAAGAACAGTCCTATGAAGTAATAGAATTTTAACATAGATTACTTTCTTGAGGTTCTTGTTATGCAAATATTCATGGCATTGTCAGAATGGGCATTATTTACAAATGACATTTAATCAAATTGAAACAAATTTGAAGTGTCATTGAGATTTGTATAGATAAATCACGATTCTGACAGTTAGTAGTCACATCAATTTGCCTCTGACAATGCTGTTGATCCAGGCCCATAAACCTGGCACATATTCAAAGTTAGCATTTAGCATGAAATATCATCACTGATATGGTCATGTATAATGCACATTTGAAAAGTGCAAAGTATAAAACAATCATGTGATATTTTGATTGGAGTAATTGAGAATTTCTGACTGGATAATATTACAATTACTTGCAAAACTTGTTATAAAATCCACTGAAAAAACAACAGATTCGCATCCCTCAACGACTGTAAGTGAAAAAAAGGTTATCACCTGGTGCCACTTTTCGATAGAGCTGGCTTATAATGAAATCATGGCTTCATGGGTTGCATTATTCACTCAAGCTCCTCGTAATTAACTAGCTCAACGAACAAGTAATATAACATTATTCGACCAAATATACCATTAATTTTAATGAAGATGGCCTTAGAGTGCAACTTTTTCAGTTTTTCAAAAATATTAACTGGGCAGGGAACTTCTTTGAAAATCCGTCCCTCAACATACAGTAAAAATTGATGTGTGATACAGAAGAAGTGTAATTCTAGAGAGCCACAATAACAATTTAACATTCTGACATAACAACATGCAAGTCATGCTTTCATATTTCTAGGGTTTCAATTTCGTGTTAACTTACCCTCCATTGAACGCATACGGACTGAAATGTCGCTGTTTCGGGCCAGCAATATATTGGCCGTGCATCTGAGGATGTTCAACATTCATATTTTCTTATAAAATGCCTAACTGACAAGGTAGAATATTATTAATTTTGCAGACAACCTCCCAAGGTAAACTTCTAAAATGGCGGTACCTATCCCACAATTCATTTTGTATTTTGACCTCGGCGCAAATGAAAATATTATCAACAGCTTATCTAGCAATTAGAAATCAATATTCAGTATATTAATGAGTCTATTTAATATTTAATTGAAATACACTTGGTCTGGTCAATTATTTTGAAGAATTTGTATTTTTGATGATATTTTTTAGAGTGGAAAACATTTCTATGGAACGAGGACAAACAACTGTTTCCACTTCCGGTCAAAAACCAAGATGGTGGGTATCGTGCAAAGCACGTTTGCTTTGATGCAAAACAAACATCGATATGCGACTTAACATGGTTTTGTCTGGTATATGGTCCGGTTTACTCTACGCTGGACGTTTTTTGTATTTACTGAATTGTGCTTTATTTTGTATTTGTAGCTTTTCTACTCGTTCTTTAAGTCGTTGGTCGGAAAAGACGTAGTTGTTGAACTGAAAAATGATCTCAGGTATGTCATTTCCTTTTTACCACCTACTTCAATGGTATATAAGTGATTGGAAACAACATTTAGGGTCTCACTAGTATGAGAGACTCCACTGTTGACCCCATCGGCTTCGAATATAAATAGCAATCGACATTTGTCACGCGTAACTGCGCCCTCATATGCACGTAGTCATTAACTTTTGTTTTTTTCATTCATCGCTTCTTTCAGTATATGTGGCACACTGCACTCGGTAGATCAGTTTCTCAATATTAAATTAACAGACATCAGCGTGACAGACCCTGAAAAATATCCACACATGGTAAGTACATTTCTTTCTTTTGGAGGGGGGGGGGGTTGCTGTTAAAATGTGAATGCACCCAATTTCAAGCTGTTGCTACTTTCATGCAGTCATAGTGTTCACCAATTCTCAAATCAAGCATTTTCTTTTAATCCTAGCTCTCAGTGAAAAATTGTTTTATACGTGGTTCTGTGGTACGGTATGTGCAGCTACCAGCAGATGAGGTTGACACACAGCTACTACAAGACGCTGCCAGGAAAGAAGCTGCCCAGAGCAAAGGGCAATAACAGATAGTTTTTTGTAAAAGGGATTTTTTTTATACTTATGTACTTGAAACACCTCTCTTCCATGTGGATTGTGAGAATGCATTATTTGTATATTCGGGGAAGGGGGTGCTGGTGAACATATTATAACAGTGGTTATGATAATAAGACATGGGCCCAATGCATTATTTTATTGAAATGTTAAAGAAAAAAGTTATGTTGCATCCCAACAATAAGGACTAATACAGATTTTTGTTTCATTTTTCAACAGAATTATTTAAACACAGGTCCACTTTACATGACATGAAGGCCATTGTTCATGGTCTCCTGCAAAAGTCAGTTATTTTATTTAGTCCAAGGCTGGCTTAGCCTGCAAATTAAGTGCTCTATTTATATAAACTTGACTAATGCATAACACCACTTTATTTTCACTGCAATTTCTCACATTACCCAGGACATAGTTTGAGATAGTTGGCATACACCCTTTGCAGATTTGTGAGGTACCATTCACTGACTAATATATACATCATGGCTGCTCACAATGAAGCATTTTTTTATGTGAAGAATACACATAAAATTATCGAGAAATATCCTTTATTGTGTTTGTATATTTTCTGTTCATTTTCTGTTCTCATTGTGTAGGTCTATTTTGTTGACACTTAGATTGTCCAAGGTAAAAAGATAAAACATCCCTTGAAACATATTTCTGAAGTCAAAAGTTGCTGAAAAATTAACACTGCAAGAGAACCCAGTTTTTACAAGTCTGTGATTGTGAACTACATTCACAACATTATAACTTCTTCAATTATATTACTATACTCAGTCTATAACTAATTCATATGATTGAGACCTGAGACGATACTTTTTGGTTTATTGGCATTTGTATGCATCTGTATTACTGTAAGTTACAGCATTCCATAATTTTGCAGTATTGACAGGGAATCTACATCTAACCATATTAGAAAATCCAAATTCCAAATATGGAATTCTGATGTGGAGTTTCCAATATATCTTACATCAAATAGTCGGGGGTTAGGAAAATGTACAACAATGTTAAGTTACTTTGAAGTATGCACTGAGACGGTACAGTCTCATGACCTCTGCTACACATCGGTTGATACTGCCATTGTGACATAGCTAATATGAACACCATTAGTAATGCAATCTCTTACTGGAAAGCCTCTACAGATAGCCATAATGAATGAGGTGGAGTTTGTGTTAATTGATTTTCTCCTGGATAAATAACCAACTCAACTTACTCAAGTAGTAGTTTAGCTTCCATAGATAAATGTGTATCATTTTTACTATGAAGATTTTGTAATAAAACATCAAACAAAGTTGTATTGTGACCGTCGTTTATTCCCAGTATTAAAGAAAGTCTGTACATTTTAGAGCTGCACTTGTATTTTTAGTACGTGTAAAGTCCAAAAACCAAGACTACTATTAGTATCAATGATACATTTGTGTGACATGCAACTACGAGACCATACTTGTTTTGATGCAAAAGTGGCCGATTTCTAAAGAATGTGCATAAGTTTACATTTTGGGATGAATCTGATAATTTGATCAAACTTATGTTGCATACATTTTTGTCATTGTATTCGTTGCTCGTTTCCTCTTGCAATACACTGCACCAACATCTGCAAACCGGTGATGTTTTACTCAGTCAGCCACTTAGTAAAACATCAACTTTCAGAAAGAAGCTCTACACAGATAGCAAAGCTAGGAACTCCCCTTGTGTAATTTCCATTCTTCTTAAGGGTAAACAGTGGTGCAGCCCTTTACTTTATGCTACAATTTGAAAACATTTTTTTTCTGCTTCATGTGTTTGTTTGCCTTCAATTACCTCCCCGGTACATTTCGGTGGTCATCACTGTCGTCCCTGGAATCTTGTTCTTAGTTTACGTAACTATCGCCAACAAAATTCAAGTAATTAGCATAACTATGTTTTATGACCTTAGTAGCCATTTTTAATTATCCTTGACTTTTTCCCATGCCAGAGTGAATTGGAGTTTTTAATAAAAATGAATCAATGTCTTCCATCAAAATTCACAAAAGTTTGTGTCATCACTGGTCACCGCGTTTCCCTGAACCTTGCCAATATTGATTAGATCGCAATTAAGGTATTGCCGAGGTAAATCATCCCTTTTTCATTGCCACAAATATTGGTTCTCCAGACGCCTCTAATAAATAACCTATTCTATTGTTGGCTTCACTCTTTTTTTTTACTTGGAAAGGTGACAAGTCTCCATTTTAAGGTCGCAGGTCGTTTGAATTGGACCGTTTCGTTTTCGAGTTTCGAGTTTGTTGTATGCCTAGAAACATGGCAACATTGTTTATTTGGTGAATATAAAACATGTTCGGGTCCAATAAAGGATTTTGATATGCATAACAATTCCTTACTAAACGTTTCCTGTATTCTCCAAAAAGGCCTTGTTCAACGCGTCTTTGTATTGACCAATCACAGTATTGTATATTTGTATCTAAGTTTCCCCGCTCAAATTCAGAATCCCCACGACGGTATATAAGCATCCATTGTAATTGTTTCAGGGCTCTTCTATGTTATGTTCACGAATAAACTACTTGTGTTCTACTATTGAAAGTACTTGTCTTGTCTGATTGCTGGTATTATAAAGAATATTACGTCCAAAAATACGACTTCCCACACAGTTACAAAGAGCACAAATTACACAACCACTTTTTCCCACTACAATCCAAGGATGTAATGGCTTCTCAGTCATTCTCTGTGAAAGAATAACCTGGAAAAAAGAACCAAAAAAAAACATTCTTTAAAACTACGACTATCTGTTGTGTGGCACAGCTTTATGCAATGTGAATGCAACATTGTAACAAGTTATTCATGCAAACTGAAAGTTAAAACAGAATTTTTTCCTAACACAGTTCAGTCTTCGATGCATTTGTTGGCAATAGTATTCACGTCTGTTTGGTCCACTTACCTTAATTGGCAGTAACAATAAGTATGTCATTGTGAAAAACAGTTGATACGTCTCTCACCCACCCACAAGCAAACTGATTATATGCTTCAAGACTTTTAAAGCGTTTCAAATCAGCTAGGGGACTGAGGACTGTGTGAGGACTGGGATTGAATACCAAGTAATTGACAATGTCTGGATAAGAAACTGCAGGTAACAAGGCGGCATCAGTTGACCATTCACCAGCAACGATAGCGTACGAATCGGAACCGCCAATTAATGACAATTTTTTATCGTAACATAACTTCTCTGCAACAGGAAGAGTTTAACGATAATGAAACAGTGATGTGTTTCCCTTTGAACTAGAGATAGACATGGTTTTTGTAAGATCGTGAGGCAGAAATTAATACAATGGTGGGAACACAAACTTGAGCTTCATTTATTCACTGCATGAACATGGCAGCTATATTGTAAACACTCTTTCACATATTGCCTGTGAGGGCGCACTTCACAAATAACAATTACATGAATATATAAATGTACACTAATATAGTGGACATTACAGTTTTAAGCGTTAAGATCTCGAAAAGATTCAAAAGAATGACTGCGTTATTCGTGTTGTTAGTAGGAGTGCCTCCAATATGGCCGACTTCCAGCATGATGACGTCATGTGAAAGGCCCCTCTAGAGGGCGCCGTCTATTCACCCTCATTGTAGTAATAAACTGGCCAAAAAATTGTGTAAATCTGCAATCCATTTTCGCTGTTAATTCCTGCTTCGGAAGGCGTTTTGCATGTGATTTTATTGCGTTATATTCCAAGCTAGTTGAAACTAGAAATTACGCGGGAAATTTTAAACTTTAAACACAAATTTTATTATTGACGCTACGCTAGGATTTCCCACAGTGGATTGCCATTAAAATGACTTTTGTCTGTGTGTGATTTCCAGTGTCCTCGCGTATTAATTCTTCTGTAATTTTTTTTTGGCTTGGCCTATTTCGCTCAAACCTGGCAGGTTAGGGACTGGACAGAAAGTACAGGGGGTCGGTGGGTTTTTTGGGGGGGTCACTGATTTTCTTGCAAGTGTTTAGGGGAGGGTTACATTAATCTATGCAGGCATAAGGGAATGGTCGCGATGTTTGTCCTATGCAAGTCTTATCACACCACAGTAAAAGTAGCCGAGATTTTATGCACAGTCTGGTTGACCGTGGTTGACTGTGTTGCCTCAACAAAAACCTATTCTTATTACTGATACAGCAACTGTATTTACATTGAATCACTGATTGAATGACATGTTTAAAACTTAACTTATATTCAGAGCTATGATGAGGACTCACTGTCTGGAGATTCTAATAATGAATCATCTGACAGCGGAAATGAAAGTTTCCAGCCAGTACTATACACCATATCTGCAATTCACCACTGGGGAAAATAATGTACGTGTACTGCTGGATTAAAACACATACATTTATTGAAGTGAAATATTATGATATAATATGTGTTTACAATACCAATAGCCACTCGTTGTTTACATGATTTTAGCATATTGTAATTAATATGCAAATGTAACTTTTCATTCAAATGTGATCTTTAAAATGTAATTATTTTAAAGCAATGATTATCCAGTGTTAAATGAATTGAGGTTACTAATATTAGTTAATAATAATATTAGCAGTGGTGTGACTAGCACCTTTCTACTTTCTCATTTCACTTCAATGTTTGGCTACAAGGCAGACTTTCGTCCCCACCCACCCTTCCCTTCAAAGTATATTTCGCATTCGTTGTTATAATCTTTATCTTTTCAGTGTAGGTTTCATGGTATGATTGTAGAATTTTCTTCACATGGATGTATTTACCCGAAGGTACGGTAAACGTTTGTTGGTATAGTGGCTGTGCTGGCATGCAGCCACAAGCCTACCTATTTAACAAGTCATTGCGAATAACATAGTCCCCGTTGGAATTAGAGGGAAATGTTATTCATTCCAAAAATAAAGTTGCAGACTAAAGTATAGTTGGTAATTTAGAGTGAATAAATGGTCTAGTATCAACAGAAATTAGATGTATTAAATTACTCTTTCAAAATCAAAATTTATGATCAGAAATTAAACAGGATAAGCTAATTGTGCATTTTTTTTGTATCCAAACTGAATTTACTTGTCTTGGCCCATGTACAGAGATATAGTAGTATGGTCAAAAAGCAAGATTACAGGCAGTCAACCATCATGGATCCGATTGTGAAACTAATTGTCAACGACATGTATCATATGTATAATTCCAAGAGAGAAAAACATGTAACAGTACATTTTGAAAAAAACAAGATGGGTCCTGTTGTTTGTTTTTTTGTATTTGAACACGAAACAAATCATGAAGGACATGTATCACAACATATACAATGTTTGTATCACATTTGAACGAAAACCAACAAATCCTTTCAAAGAAACCACATCTTTGATCTGATTATGGGCCAAACTGATATGAACATTTATGTATGTGCCAAATATGAATGAAAATGGTCTAAAAGCCTTGGAGCTAAAGTAGTATGGTCAAAAAGCAAGATGGCCACCAGTCGGCCATCTTTAAGCGATTGTAAAACAAATTTTCATGGAAATGTAATCTAAAACGTATAATGCATGTACCAAATTTTAACAACTTACACAGCGTGCATAAGATACCACATTTTCAAAAAAAAGTGGCTGTCAGTCGGCCATCTTTGATCCGATATTCAAACGAATTATTATAGATATGTATCCAAAGATGTATAACGTATGTACCAAATTTGAACAAAAACTGGCAAAGCATGCATGAGAAAAACAAAATGGCTGCCACTCAGACATATTTGATTGAATCAATAAACCATAGACTGTCGACAGTTCTCGGGCCTAATAAAGAGTCACTTATTTTCAAACGTCGTAGGCGTGGTAATGAAATACCGAAGGCATTTCAAGCGAGCGCCGTAAGTCTGTCGACAGTCTAAGTAAACCACTGCATGTGCATATGTTCCAGGTAAACTACTAGACACATACAAAGAAGGAACCTGACTTTGATGTGAGCTTTGTGCGCGCCTAGGGTATTCGAATGTCCCCTGTTAGGTAATTTCCTAAATAACGCTAGTGCGCAACTCTAGAGGACTTCGAAAACTACTGCGCAGCCCCAGAAGGTGCCAGAATTTTTTTGCTGGCTCAATTTGCTCTCAAATTTACTCCGGTTTTCGCTGTAACCGGTCACTTAGACCATGACGACTCCAAATAACGACAGGGCGCAACTCTAGAGGACTTCGAAAACTACTGCGCAGCCCCAGAAGGTGCCAGAATTTTTTGTCGGGTCAATAAGGTCTCAAATTGGCGCTAGGGCAGCCCTTCATTGTTCCCCTGGCTCCTATTGTTCTTCATTTGACCTCGTGACCTTGATG